CCTACACTGGACCACCACGTTTGAGATATATTTTTCAGGTAGTTCAGACACAAACCACGACAGCTTATTGTAGAATACTACCTACACTGGACCACCACGTTTGATATATCTTTTTCAGGTAGTTCAGACACAAACCAGTACGGCAGCTTATTGTAGAATACTACCTACACTGGACCACAACGTTTGAGATATCTTTTTCAGGTAGACACAAACCACGACAGCTTATTGTAGAATACTACCTACACTGGACCACCACGTTTGAGATATCTTTTTCAGGTAGACACAAACCACGACAGCTTATTGTAGGATACTACCTACACTGGACCACCACGCGATTGGGATGTATTTTTCAGGTAGTTCAGACACAAACCACGACAGCTTATTGTAGAATACTACCTACACTGGACCACCACGTTTGAGATATCTTTTTCAGGTAGTTCAGACACAAACCACGACAGCTTATTGTAGAATATGTCCTAAAATTCTTCTTAAATTGCATTTCTCCGTACAGGTGACATTATGGGCTCCTCCATCAGCGGTATAGAAAAGTTACTCAAAATGCCGTACGGCTGTGGTGAACAAAATATGATAAACTTCGCTCCGAGCATGTTCATACGAGCCTATCTGGAGAGTGTCGGTCAGCTTACATCAAGTATCAGAGAAAAGTCGATAAAATTCATGACGTCAGGTAAGTCTGATAGCAACTTCGTACCTACAGTTGAAATTCACAAACGATTTGTAAACAAAGCCTCCGATTGGCCTATATAAGAAAGAAGGAAGCAACAATCCAGCTGCTCAGACTATTTGATTGGTTTCCCTCTTTCTTATAATCTAATCAGGGCTTTGTTTACAAATCATTTGTGAATTTCAACAGTGTAATTTGTTCGCGTCGGTTGCAAATTGCTCAGAGCAATCTTCCTATCAAAATTGCAATATTGTGGGACAATATTGCAATGTTGCTTGCAGAGAACATCCGGTTTGACTGTGCACGGCCAAGTTGAGCTCATTGTATTTTCGTATAATGAGTAATCATCCAATAGGGATAGTTGAGATGAAACGTGTAACCACGATGAATAATATCTAATGAAGTTGAGACAGTTCTCGCATTCTCAAAATTGCATTACTTGTCAT